ATTGAATAAAATTGAATACAATTGAATGCAATTATATGAAATTGCATAAAATTGTATAAAACTGTATAAAATTCTATAAAATTGCATAAAATTGTACAAAATTCTATAAAATTGCATAAAATTGTACAAAATTCTATAAAATTGCATAAAATTGTACAAAATTCTATAAAATTGCATAAAATTGTACAAAATTCTATAAAATTGCATAAAATTGTACAAAATTCTATAAAATTGCATAAAATTGTACAAAATTCTATAAAATTGCATAAAATTGTACAAAATTCTATAAAATTGCATAAAATTGTACAAAATTCTATAAAATTGCATAAAATTGTACAAAATTCTATAAAATTGCATAAAATTGTACAAAATTCTATAAAATTGCATAAAATTGTACAAAATTCTATAAAATTGCATAAAATTGTACAAAATTCTATAAAATTGCATAAAATTGTACAAAATTCTATAAAATTGCATAAAATTGTACAAAATTCTATAAAATTGCATAAAATTGTACAAAATTCTATAAAATTGCATAAAATTGTACAAAATTCTATAAAATTGCATAAAATTGTACAAAATTCTATAAAATTGCATAAAATTGTACAAAATTCTATAAAATTGCATAAAATTGTACAAAATTCTATAAAATTGCATAAAATTGTACAAAATTCTATAAAATTGCATAAAATTGTACAAAATTCTATAAAATTGCATAAAATTGTACAAAATTCTATAAAATTGCATAAAATTGTACAAAATTCTATAAAATTGCATAAAATTGTACAAAACTGTATAAAATTGCATAAAATTGTACAAAATTGTACAAAATTGTATAAAATTGTATGGAATTGCATAAAATTGTACAAAATTGTGCAAAATTGTATAAAACTGTATAAAATTGCATAAAATTGTACAAAATTGTACAAAATTGTATAAAATTGTATGGAATTGCATAAAATTGTACAAAATTGTGCAAAATTGTATAAAACTGTATAAAATCGCATAGAATTGTATAAAATTGATGTATGTTCTACGAAATTGTATAATACTTATATCAAATTATAGTATAAACTTGTATAAAACTGTAAAAAATCGCATAAAATCGTACAAAATTGTATACAAAATTCTACAAAAATATAATTTGTTCGTTACGAAAGCTAAGCATTGCTCATTGTTCCCCATTATCTAAGTTTTCGATAGAAAGAGACGTTCTCGTGCCGGTTTCGCGTACATTCGCGTCGACACGAGTGCCTTCGATCACTGTTCACCGTTGCCCCGTGAACGGAATAGAAATATTTCGACGTCGGTCTCACGCGAGAGCGGAGGTGTCAAGCGTTCGCATGCTTCGCGAAAGAACGCTCGCGGAAAAGGAGCGGCGCACCACCACCGCCGTCGTCGCCGCCGTCGTCGGTGTCGCTGTCTTTGTTTGACGGTCTTGTCGCCGGTTGATAGTCTTGGCACGCGAGTCACGGGTCGCGCAACAAGAATTTTTAACGAAGCCGCGGCACCGCGAACGCAATTAATTCCCGGCCGTGAGCGACTCTTAAGCGGCTCGTGACCGGTGCCTGACCGGGCCTGGCTTCGATCGCGCTTTCATTGTCGCAATTTATTGTCCACGGTGACCGATCGCGGAAATGAAATCGAACGGGCCGAGTTGTCGCGCGACAACGGGGCTTCGATCGTTCACGATCGATCCGTGTGCCCGGTCCGGAAACGAGATGATATATTTCCAGGCTGCCGGGAAATAAACGACTCGTTTGCTACTTTATTAATGGCGCGGTGTTGCATTCGACGCGACAAAAAAAAACGTTGCGTCGTTGCATTTGGAGTTCACGAAGCTGCGGTGATCTTTGCAAAATTTCGATCTGTAAGATGAATTATTATTAACACCAGGTTCACGGTGAACCTGGCAAAATGACGGGTCACCAATTTTTTCATTTACGCGATTATTCAGATCATTAAAATACACGAAGATAAAAAATACCCCGTGGATATATAATTATTATTTCATTGAATATATAAATTTAATTTTCTTTTGTAACAAATATATATAATATATATTAATATATATATTAATGTTATAACAAAAGTAACATCGATGTTACAAATTTGTATATATATATATGTACTTGTTACAGTATAATGTAATTAACTTTGTTATAATGTTCAGAAATTATAACAATTTCCCATCGGTTTTTCGGATTTACTTAGTTTTCAGTTTACTCGAAAATGGTACAAATTGGAGCGTCTCTGAAAACGTTAAAAAAATTTTCCCGCGAATGAATCTGCTACCGATTTGAAGATCGAAGCTTCCCCTTTCTGAAGACGTCTCGAAACTTGGTGCACGATTTCTTGAAATCGTTTTATCGAACTGAAACGAGGAACATGTTTGGTCGCGTAACGCCCTTGTGTGTCACTGTGAAGTGGACGGTACACCTTTCATTCGAAGCTCGATAAGTCAACGAGAAAAAAATCGTACGTCGAAGTTTAAGAGGTCGTTGTAAAGGGGAGGCTTCGATCTTCAAATTCGTGGTATACTCGATCGTGGAAAAAATTTTCTAAAGTCCGCAGAGATCTTTCAATTTGTATCACTTTCAAGAAAGGGCGTGTCTCCAGTTTTTTGCTTGTTGCGTCGTGCGAAAACATTTTACGAGAAAATAAGCGATGCGGGACGAAAGTAGAAGCTTCGAGCTTTAAAATGAGTCCTCGTTCATCGCCGTACGACTATTTTTCACGAGATTATAACGATTTAAATTAGCGATAATTTGTCGAACAGCAGAATGTGAATACTTTTTGCAGTATTTATTGGGATGTATTTTTAAATAAAAATCGTGCACTATCTGCATAAATACGGGTTGTTTTATTATTTTATGTTCGCCGTAACGAACTTTCCAGTCGGTGTAAACAATTTTTTCCTTCGTTGGATAATTACAAAATGATCAATTAAAATCAGAGTATCGGTTATATCAAACGAAAATCTCATCGAAAAAGTTCAACGATTGTTAAGAAAAGTCATGAATGATATAGTAACTACCCGTGATTGAATGAAGTCAAGTATAAAAATCAACGTAGTCCCAGCAGGCCAACGATTTCGCCGCGGACTCTCTCATTGATAGTTGAGGGACCCTGAAGCGCCGCTATGAATTCCAAGAGAGAATGATTCACAAGTGACTCACCAGTCTTGTTACTGTTGCTGCCGAAAGAATGCAGTTTTTTCCAGCCTTTCCAACCCTTTTTCCAGATCATGGCGGCCTTCGTTTTACGCTGACCGCCGGCTAATTCAGGCGTGCTGGTTTTGCCCATTCCTCGCCTCAAGGAGCCCAGTCCCGACCTAAGCAAAGAACAATTGGCAACATTAGTTCCCTGTCCTCTCCGCCAACCGTTTCTGGCCGTGCAATTGCCACGCTGAATCAATAAACGCGACGCCACAAAACTGTCCAATAATTCTTGACTCGCTTGGCTCGCGTCCGAGACGCGCCATCCACATTGGCCGCAGGAATCATTTCAAGGCGGATTATAACCGCGGATCAACGTGGATATGATTTACTATTATTGTAACTCATCCGGCGACTCCGTTTCTTTGCAGTTAGCGTGGAATTAGTAAACGTGGAACGGTATAAAATCGACTGGCATCAAGAACATTTCTATAATTCTGTAAAATTTTACATATAATTGTATGAAATTCTATAAGATTGAATCCAATTTGTATGAAAATGTACAAAATAAAAATTGTATCAAAATGTATAAAATTGTATGCGATTGATATAAATTCTACAAAATTGTATAGAAATTCTATAAAATTTGTATAAGATTATACAAAATTATTGGAAATTGTATAAGATTGTACCAAATTGTATGAAATTGTATAAAATTGCATGAAATTATCTTGAACAAAAACATCAATTAGGAAAACCTTTAAATTNTCAAATTCGTGGTATACTCGATCGTGGAAAAAATTTTCTAAAGTCCGCAGAGATCTTTCAATTTGTATCACTTTCAAGAAAGGGCGTGTCTCCAGTTTTTTGCTTGTTGCGTCGTGCGAAAACATTTTACGAGAAAATAAGCGATGCGGGACGAAAGTAGAAGCTTCGAGCTTTAAAATGAGTCCTCGTTCATCGCCGTACGACTATTTTTCACGAGATTATAACGATTTAAATTAGCGATAATTTGTCGAACAGCAGAATGTGAATACTTTTTGCAGTATTTATTGGGATGTATTTTTAAATAAAAATCGTGCACTATCTGCATAAATACGGGTTGTTTTATTATTTTATGTTCGCCGTAACGAACTTTCCAGTCGGTGTAAACAATTTTTTCCTTCGTTGGATAATTACAAAATGATCAATTAAAATCAGAGTATCGGTTATATCAAACGAAAATCTCATCGAAAAAGTTCAACGATTGTTAAGAAAAGTCATGAATGATATAGTAACTACCCGTGATTGAATGAAGTCAAGTATAAAAATCAACGTAGTCCCAGCAGGCCAACGATTTCGCCGCGGACTCTCTCATTGATAGTTGAGGGACCCTGAAGCGCCGCTATGAATTCCAAGAGAGAATGATTCACAAGTGACTCACCAGTCTTGTTACTGTTGCTGCCGAAAGAATGCAGTTTTTTCCAGCCTTTCCAACCCTTTTTCCAGATCATGGCGGCCTTCGTTTTACGCTGACCGCCGGCTAATTCAGGCGTGCTGGTTTTGCCCATTCCTCGCCTCAAGGAGCCCAGTCCCGACCTAAGCAAAGAACAATTGGCAACATTAGTTCCCTGTCCTCTCCGCCAACCGTTTCTGGCCGTGCAATTGCCACGCTGAATCAATAAACGCGACGCCACAAAACTGTCCAATAATTCTTGACTCGCTTGGCTCGCGTCCGAGACGCGCCATCCACATTGGCCGCAGGAATCATTTCAAGGCGGATTATAACCGCGGATCAACGTGGATATGATTTACTATTATTGTAACTCATCCGGCGACTCCGTTTCTTTGCAGTTAGCGTGGAATTAGTAAACGTGGAACGGTATAAAATCGACTGGCATCAAGAACATTTCTATAATTCTGTAAAATTTTACATATAATTGTATGAAATTCTATAAGATTGAATCCAATTTGTATGAAAATGTACAAAATAAAAATTGTATCAAAATGTATAAAATTGTATGCGATTGATATAAATTCCACAAAATTGTATACAAATTCTATAAAATTTGTATAAGATTATACAAAATTATAGGAAATTATATAAAATTGTATCAAATTGTATCAAATTGTATAAAATTGTATGAAATTGTATGAAATTGTATAAAATTGCATAAAATTTTATGAAGTTGTATAAAATTGTACAAAGTTGTATAAAATTGTATGGAATTGCATAAAATTGTATGGAATTGCATAAAATTGTACAAAATTTTATAAAATTGTATAAAACTGCATAAAATTGTATAAAATTGTACAAAATTGTATGAAATTGCATAAAATTGTATGGAATTACATAAAATTGTATGGAATTGCATAAAATTGTATAAAATTGTATAGAATTGCTTAAAATTGAATAAAATTGTATACAATTGCATACAATTATATGAAATTGCATAAAATTGTATNATGCTTAATACACTAAGTTTCGTTCAATTTATGCAGATTTTTCAACGCGATTTGACAAGAAATTATTTCAATGTAATTCATATCCTCCGAGTTCCCGCAAACTATATTCATTATCACCAATTAGTTTTAATGGTTCCTGTCTATTTGCCTAATAAGTACACGTTGGAGTGAGCGCTATTCCTCTTCGAAAGATGAATTATTTACGATACAATTAATGTGTAGTAAAAAGTTTTATTCCCGTCACTTGATGCGCTCATAAAAGTCCGCCCATAAATTAGTTGGAATATCTCGTGCAACGATGATATTACATTAAACTATGCGCATTGAGCAACTGAAATTCTCCACGGACCACTGAGCGTCTCTCTGTTTTAAGTCCGGGCGTCACGTCAGTTTAACACCAGCGTTTCAGAAGCGATTTTTCAGTCACGCAACAAATACGATCGTTATCATTCCACGAACATTATCTCTCTCAGTTTCTTCTGCCGACTGCCATGGGAGTATCTCGTATTTCTACCACGGGTTGGAACGCTAGAAAAATCGCTGGTGTGAAACTGACGTCAGAAAATACGAGCTAAGAGAACATCACCCTTGGCAAAAAGTGTCTGATCCGAAATTACCTCGAAGTAGAAGCAACTTCGAAGGAGCTTGTTACATTAATCTAAACAATTCGACGAATTATTACAGCGTTCGAGCAACGTTTTAAAGAAATTCTGAACCGAATGTTCGATTTTTTTGCACTCGAGTGGTGACTCAGAAGCACCACTAAAATTTGTTACATCACGTTTTAAGATCAATTTTATATATTAACAAAGTTTAGATTTAAAAAATTGTTAAGAGTGTAACTGTTGCGTGAGTCCCAAGAGTCAATTTCACGTGCATAAAATGCATTTTATCATATAAAATGAAACTACTACAAGTAAGAAAAATGATTATATATTTACAGTTAAAATAGCTTCGAGTGCAAAGGGTTAAAATAACTATTAGAAAAGCATAAAGCGTTAAAGACTCGACTGCCAATTTCTAATTGTTCAATGGACATATCAAAAAGACAGCTGATAAAAGAAAAATTGTTAGTTTAGTGTACGCGTGTAGTTCATTTCTTGTGAATTTAAGAGAAAAATCTTTCCATTTGTTTCGAACTTTAGAAGAACGAAAGGACTGGTTTAGCTCGGACAAATACTTGTTGCCAGAAGTGGTGTCGTTAAAATGAAAGCTGGAGTTACTGTTCTTTTCTCGACCTGTAACTTGCACTGGAGCTTCCACTGAAGCCACTGTCCATGTCACAGCCAACAGGCGAAAGGAGGTCGTCGGTGGGACTGACCGAAGATAACAGCTCCTCGGTGGACGCTTCCCGTTGATCCTGGGGCTCGTCTTCGTCGTTGTTATCGACCACAGTTGGCATCAGCATCGCCTCCACGCTCAGGTTCAATTCCCCGAGCACTCGGCGATGCCGTGACTGGACTCGTCGAACCTCCTCCGCCACCAGGGACCTCCGCGAGCCGTGTAACGCTCGGTGACATTGTCTGCTAATGAATCGAGCCGATTAATAGACGGACCAATTATACATATTTCATCGGTGAACGTGTTCGCTTCATGGGAAGCCTCCGTGTCACTTGATTCTGGCTGCGCAGGTGATACGGACACAGACAAGGGCTTGAATGTACAGTAAATGTCTCCCTAACTGACGTTCGTCCATAAAAATGGAAAATTCAGGAAGGGGAAATACGATTGTTCGAACCCTGCAGCTCGTTCTTATAGTTGTTGACAATTCGAAACTATTGGGTTGGGGAATAAGTTCGTAACGTTTTTATATTTTCTTTTATTTTACAACGATTTTTCGCTGTTCGACAAAGTGTATAATATCCATTCGATAGAGCTCTTTCTGCTCTACAAAACTGTGCTAATCGTCTTTTTGAGTAATTTAATTTTTTATTACTTTCGAGGCTTAGAAATGGAATATCCAGGAGGTAAAAAGCAACATTTTCGACACCTTCTCTTCTTCGCTTTTCATCGAGGCGAAAAAGCTGCTGAAGCAGCCCGAGACATTTGCAACGTATACGGAGAAGGTGTCACAGGCGAGTCTACAGCAAGGAAATGGTTTGCGAAGTTCAGAAATGACGATTTTGACGTCGACGACACGCCCCGCGGCGGAAGACCTTCCGAATTCGACGAAGGGCGTCTCAAAGCACTTTTGAAGGAGGACGGTCACCGAACAAGTCGTGAATTGGCCGAAAGAATGAACTGCGATCATAAAACGATTCTCAATTATCTTCGTTCAATGAGATTTGTCGAAAAATTGGGAGCCTGGGTTAAATTCGAATTCGGAAGGTCTTCCGATGCGGGGTGTGTCGTCGACGTCAAAATCGTCATTTTTGAACTTCGCAAACCATTTCGGTGCTGTAGACTCGCCTACGAATATTCGTATCGATCAGATACAAAGCAACTGTTAAAACTGAACTTTTATGGTGGAATTAAAGTGTCAAAATGTAAAAGTTGACTTGAAGTCAACTTGAAGAGAAATAATTGCAAAGGTGTACAAAGTTTACTGTATCGTTTATATTTTTAAGAGTTCACAGTGTAATTACAGATCAATTCAAGCCCCGTTCATGATTTATTCAAGAGAAATTATTGTTAAAATGTCAATTTCATTTTCAGAATAGCGGTGCAACAACTTCAACATTTCTACTGGCGTTTAAAACAAAATTTGTAACATTTTGTAAAATTTGTAAATTTCTATTTTCTATTATTTCTAATATAGAAATATATAAATATGATGTCTCGTGAAGTTTTCGTTTAAGCATCGCTAAAAATGTGAAAGTTTCTTTCAGTCCAGATATACAGTAATGTCTCCCTTACTGACGCTCAGGTTGTGTACAGAAATGGACAATTTGGGAAGAGGAGATACGATTATTAGAACCTTGCGACTCGTTTTTATAGTTGTTGACAATCGATCACCATAAAGAACGAGCAACAAGGCTCGAACAATCGTATCTTCTCTTCCAAAATTGTCCACTTTTGTGGACAATCTGAGCGTCAATTAGAGAGACATTACTGTATATCCATATGTTGTTACCAACCCCGCCGGGTTAACATTTCTACCTGCGACTGCAACAATAGCTAATAACTTATTAATTGGCTGTATAGCACGAGTAACACGAAAGCAACGGCAAGTGTATTGAAGTAGCAACCTCGGATAACTCATCTTCAATCATTTTAAATACCGATTGAAATAGCCGGCGCGATCAAGGGGATGCACCTTTCTATTCACGAGGTCCGGCATCGATGGAAGCAAAAAGACCGTCTCCCTCTCCGCCCCCCCTCTCTCTCTCTCTTTCTCTCTGCCCCTGTCGGTCTTAAGAAAAGCGTCGCATAATAATTTACCAGTGAATCGGAGTCAATTTGAATGGGTATTTATCTTGTCCCGATGAATGACTTAGGTCTCGGCCGCGAATGCGCCGCGGACAATCCACCGACTGTTGTTTTCTTATTGTTCGCGACTTAATCACCGTCTCCGGGCATCCGGTGGCCGGGCCCGGGACGCGTCGAATCGGGCCAAGTGGCCGGGGACGCGCTTGTTGTCCACTTAAAACCGCATTCACTCGCGTCGGTGAAGTTCAGTTCGCGTCGGGCGAATGAACCGCGCGTATTCATCAACCGTTTAGACCGAATGAAACCGTAATTCTGCTCGCTATCGACCGTAAGAAGCCCGCGGGTCTCTCTCCCTTGGAAACTAACACCGTCTTCCGGTTAGGGACCCGCTCCCATGGGGGTACGGTCCTCCCGGCTTCTACAGGGTGTCTGTAGAACTCGGTTTCGGGCGTTTCTTTTGTTTTTTTCCTTTTTTTTCTTATAAAAGTCGCTCGCTGCTCGAAAATATAAAAGCTTCCGGATGGAATTTCGTTTTCTGAGGAAATGTTTATTCTTGTTTACGTTAAACCTTGCTGCTTGAGGAAACTGTTTTCTTTTTTTTTTAAACATTATTGTGAACAATTTATTTCATGATTTTAGATCGTAATGGAACTTTAAACGAACAACTGCGATATCTGCTATTTAAGGAAACGGTATCTTTCTTTTGGGAACATTATTTTGAAAAATTTATTTCATGATTTTCGACTGAAACGTGACTTTGAAACAGCAACTATGATATATATTGTTTAAGAAAACTGTTAGTTCTCACGAAAACGTCTTCTAAATATAATAACTAAATATAGATATTAAAAGAATTAAATAACTAACTATAATAACATCATCAATATGTATTCGTTCTTTTTGTCTAAACCCTGATTTTGTTTGAACTTTTATCGTGCAGATATTATTCAATGCGATAAGCACGAAAGACAACCGATTTTGATGAAACTTTCCCGAGATAAATAGCTCAGATAAAAGAAAGAAGCTACGAAAACATAATTTCTTCGTCCAGATTTAATTTTTCCATTACAACCAAATTGTAATTTTTTGCAAGCATCGATGTACTCATTTTGCCTAGTGAACTGGTCAATCCAACATCTAAGAACACTTGAAATCGCTTGCGTTTAATTCTGAAAACGTTCTGGTGTTCTAAGAGTATGTACTTATTGCATAAAAGTATTTACATTTATATACTGGGTGTTCCATAATTACTTTAACAGCAGAAAATGAGGGGTACCTGAGACCATTTGGAGTAACTTTTTCCTTAGCGAAAATACAATCCGTGGCTTCGCTTACGAGTTATTAACGAAAAATAGTGACCAATCGGAGGCGAGATCAGATGGCACGAGGCGTCCGAGCCAATGAACGGAATTAGGCTTAGTCCGCTGGTCGGCTCGCCCGTCTAGCGCTAGGCGAGCTCGCCTCTCATTGGTTAATGTTTTTCGTTAATTACTCGTAAACGAAACCGCGGATTGCATTTTCGCTAAGGAAAAAGTTACTCCAAATGATCTCAGGTACCCTCCATTTTCGGCTGTTAAAGTATTTACCGAACACTCTGTATATGTATATATATTTACATAAGAGTATTTAATATTGAAATCGTCCAGCGCAAGATATCGCGAGTTTTCAGTATTTCTTACTTGATCTCCGAGATCTCCTCGTAGATATTCTCTTCCGTCCCGTAGCGGGTCATGTAGGTGTGCCTTTTGAACGTTTCCGGACATAAGGGTTGTTGCTGTTGAGGCTGGATACGGCTCAGGCCCACTTCCGCCGGACATGTTCCATGCAGCCTGCTTGGCCCAGGGTTGTAGTAAGCGTACGAATAATCCTGAAGGGGATGCTGGTGAGAAGAGCTCGTCATAGTCGAAGCGACTGTAGGATCCACCAGAGCCGCGCAGGGCATCTGAAAAGATTCAAAATTATTGAAATTAACAAATTATAATATATAGAGATTATTACTTTGTAACATTATTATGTATTTGGAGACTCTAACTTATTAATCGGAGACTTTAGCTTATTAATTGGAGGCTTTATACAGCTTATTAACTGGAAACTTTAGTTCATTAATTGGAGGACTTCAGTTTATTAATTGGAGACTCGAACTTATTAACCAGAGCCTCCAGCTTATTAACAGGAGATTTTAGCTTATTAACCAGAGACTCTAGCTTACTAATTGGAGGCTTTATAGCTTATTATAATTGGAAACTTTAGTTCATTAATTGGAGGACTTCAGTTTATTAATTGGAGACTCGAACTTATTAACCAGAGCCTCCAGCTTATTAACAGGAGATTTTAGCTTATTAACCAGAGACTCTAGCTTACTAATTGGAGGCTTTATAGCTTATTATAATTGGAAACTTTAGTTCATTAATTGGAGGACTTCAGTTTATTAATTGGAGACTCGAACTTATTAACCAGAGCCTCCAGCTTATTAACAGGAGATTTTAGCTTATTAACCAGAGACTCTAGCTTACTAATTGGAGGCTTTATAGCTTATTATAATTGGAAACTTTAGTTCATTAATTGGAGGATTTTAGCTTATTAATTGGAGACTCTAAATTATTAACAGAAGACTTTAGCTTATTAATTGGAGAATTTAGCCTATTAATTGGAGACTTTATAACTTATTAACTGGAAACTTTATAGCTTATTATATAACTGGAGACTTCAGTTTATTAATTGGAGACTTTAATTTATTAATTATCAACTCGCTCTAAGAAATCGATAATTAATGAAGTACTTTGTACCTGACTGTGAGGAGGTGGATATGGTGGAGGTGGTGGAAACTCCAGGTTGACTCTTCGCGGTGTCGTGACACCCGACGCCATTCCTGGTCCTCCCAGAGACGAGGCCATGATGCATTGTTCTTTTTCTAGTCAATGATGCACTTCTTTCTCATTGTTCCTCCAGCATCCTGGAAAAAAATCGTAAACGTTCGTTATTCGCTTTAACTACTGCGTCAATTTTATAAATTCCAACCCATCCTTTTAATATTCCTTATCGATTAACGCTACTTTTCCTGTTAAACCTATTTTCGCTTGAATTATTTCACGATTATCATTGATAATCGCGTTTAATATAATATTTAATATAGTTGTAATAGTTAATATTATATTTAATATAGTTGTAGTATTTAATATAATATTTAATATAGTTGTAGTATTTAATATAATATTTCATATAGTTGTAATATTTAATATAATATTTAATATAGTTGTAATATTTAATATAATATTTGATATAATATCTAATATGATATTTGATATAATATTTAATATAATATATAATGTTTAATATAATATTTAGCATAATATTCAATATAATATGTGATGCAACATTTACTATAATATGCCGACAGAAGTATCTATAAATGCAAAAATCTTGATGAAGGATCCATCTCAAAAGCCAAGATGATGCGGTTTTCCGAAAATAAATCTCGTTTGCAGCGATTGGCCAACAGAACCGGAGAAACACTGACGGGACAGTATTTTATGAACTCACAATGCCATAATTCTGTGGAAAACACGGCGATCGAGGTCAAAGCCGATCTTCCCTTTCAAAGAATCTCACCGACGCGCGTAACCAGGCGTGTCGCGCTTTGATCGCCGCGCGCGATCTACACGATTTTTAACAGGAAAGGTATCATTAGGCTCTCACGCCCGAGCGGTTTGTCCCCGCTTAAGAATTTATCACTTGCCGCAAATAAAAGAGTCGGGCCAAGTAAGACGAGACTTTATGTACATATCTCCGGCCAAAAGCGACCGCACAATCTGTCCAAGGGGATATCGATTTCAATGAACCGATAGAAAATAGCAGGGAATCTGATTATATGTGCGCGATGTTTCCAAAAGGAATTAAGTTTAACGAAGTCGCTGGTTACCTTTACGTACACTTTAATAATATTACAGCTATGGTTTCAGCGATGCGTTATCTGCGTTCTCAGAGTTCTACGAGTTCTGACCGTTCTAACAGTTCTGGTGGTTCTAGCCGTTCTGTTGATTGGTGTATGGTGGGTTTTGGTGGAGGAAATGAAGCGTTTTTGATTGGAGATGGGTGTGTCGGAAGGAACTTGAGGAGTGGGAAACTGTTCGAAAGTTCGGGTTGTAAATTTTCCGTTTTGGGAAATATGGAATTTATGAGTCGTGTTGTCCGTTCGTCGGGTCGAAGGGTATTTTCGTTTGGGTGCAGTTTTACTGTCGAAGGTATCGCTTAATTGCTCAAGGGATGGCCAGGGACGTTCGACCTTCGGTGATACCGTCGCAACACTGATTATAATTGGGACCCAGTCACAACTAAGCCGCTGCAGTCGAACGGAATTAAGAAAATAATTGCTTGTTATTGTCAAGCGATTTTTTGTGAAACAGAATAAATAAATAAATAAATAAATAAATAAATCAATGAATAAATAAATAGTGAAGACCCTGATAAATGCATTTTTTTCATAGAAAATTCAGTAAATAGATATGAACGGAGATGAAATTACAGGAAAATTTATATGTATAGAAATCATTGAGAATTAACTTTATAATAAAATCCGCGATATGTAAAAATCAGCATTTATTTCGAGGAGATAAATTATATTTTCTTGAAAATGTTATAAATCGCCTTAGATTAAAAACCGCGTCCATTCTCCGACAATAAATAATTCCCGTCTAATTTCGAGCAGAAATAAATCGTCGCTGACCAAGACATTTTTTGTTTACCCAGGGAATTTTGAAAACGTAATTTTCCACGGGGTCCCATTACGTGGAAAAAAAGGAACAAGATCGAAGACGGTGTTGCATGCGTGACGGTGTGAGAGATACGATCGTCGGGCGTGCTCGGGGAGAATCCGAGGGGAAAAAGATCGCAGGTGGCGAGACCCGATCCGCCGACGATTGAGATTCAAAACGCGGTGTGTAATTCGTGAACGCCGTATACGCGCCCAACGACGTGTATAATCTGCGCCGGGTGTGCGAGATCCGGCTAACAAGATAAATGTCGTGTTATTCGCGACGCCCGCATTTATCGGTGTTCCCCCGTGCGTTGCAATAACAATGGAAATTAATCTGTTTATCGACGGAGACCGTGATGCACCACCACGGATCAGCTGACTCCCGTCGCGAAAGTTGCGCGCTGCGAAATCTTACGATGCTGCCTGTGCGTTCCGGATACGTCACTGTTCACTTCCAAGTCGCTGCGATACAGTTTAGGATTAATTATTATTTTCTGGTTTATTTATACTGTTTATTTTATATATTCATTTTATATTTTCTAGTTTATTTTATATTTTCGAGTCTCAATTTTATATCTTATAATTCATTTTATATTTTCTAGTTAATTTTATATTTTATAATTCATTTTATATTTCCTAGTTTTTTTATTTTATATTTTGTAATTCATTTTATATTTTCTAGTTAATTTTATATTCTATAATTCATTTTATATTTTCTGTTTTATCTTATATTTCCTAGTTTTTATTTTATATTCTATAATTCATTTTATATTTTCTGTTTTATCTTATATTTCCTAGTTTTTATTTTATATTCTATAATTCATTTTATATTTTCTAGTTTATCTTATATTGTCTAGTTTATTTTATATTTTCTGGTTTTTATCTTATATTTTCTAGTTTATTTTATATTTTCTAGTTCAGCTTATATTTTGTAACACATTTTATATTTCCTAGTTTATTCCATATTCTGTAATTTAATTCATATTTGATAATATATCTTATATTTTGTTTCTGCCCGGTGGCTGCATCGTTAGTTTAAAAAACGGGGGGAAACGATTGCATAAGATCACGTGTACGTGGCATCGGCCGTCAACAACGTGCGACCCAATTCTTCAGATTAAGGACAACAAGAGCGAAGACAGATCAATCGAGTAAACGCAGCAGACGGGTGCCGTGGGTGACGATATCGACCCGAAGTCTCTCTCTCGAGAGAGAGAGGGAGAGAGAGAGAGAGAGAGAGAGAGAGAGAAAGAGAGAGAAAAAAAAAGAAAAGAAAAAATGTAGAATGATCGCGAATCGTAACCGTGGCTATAACCGCGGAAACGAGCTCCAAGTTCGCTCTGTGTGGGAGGCACATGGGAATGCAGCCGCCAGAGACAAGCCAGACCAGGGTTCCTTCGCATGATAAACGATCGGTGTCTATCTTCACCTGCCCACGTAACGTTAATGCAGTCAATTACCGGCTAAAGTGATTCGGCCGGAGCCATAATTCTTTTTTGATCGAGCACGCCGATCGAAATTACCGACATCGGGGAACGATTACGAGCGCTCGCGCGCGCGCAATCATGTTGCGTGTTGCATGTAACATGGAAAACTGGTGATCCCGAGATGTGCGAACTTGAGACTGCGAGTTTTAGCAACCGATGCGAGTCTCGGTTTTACTCGATTAAAACGAAACGTTTACGTTTCAGGAGAATTTAACCCCTTGTCGTATTTTCACGAGTCCGACTCGGCATGAAAATATCTATTAATAACTTATCGAGCATAGATGTTATTCTGTCGTTTAACCCTTAGCGCTCCGCGCGTTTCTCTCCAGTACTGTCTACCAGCAACTCTGGCACATTTTTGGAGCGGAGTGCCTGAGATAAAGGAAGTCTCATTTCGAGCGGGAAAGATTGCACGTCCTTGCGAACGCATTTGATTTTATTTATTTTATAAATATACATTTTCCTATTGTAAATAGAAGATAAATTTTAAATTTTGTAATTCACCATGGTGCGATATCTTTGGTAACAATCTCCCATGTGCATTCTGGGTTTACTTGGACAAGTGTCACAGTATTCGCTTTGCCAAATAGAGTTACCAGATATTTCTTTCAACTTTAGAACATTTTCTGCGTAATCGTTGGTTTCCTTTATAATTTCATTTACCGATTCGTCCGTGAAAAATAATTTAAAATATCGTATCGGCTGTTCGATGTTTG